TCAGAAGGAGCGTCAAATATTTTCTTTGGGTTTGAAAACATACATCTGCTTCCAGTTTAAACGGCCTACACCTCCGAATCTTACCTTTTTGAATAGCATAGAGAGCTCGGGGCTAACTTCCCATTCGCCGTCCCACTGCCATCCCTGTGGGGGAACGAAACCGTCTTTGGGCAATTCCATTTTGCCAGTAACATCAGTCCAAGGGTTTCTTGTAAGGGGAGGTTTATGGGAGCTCCAGTTGCCGGCAAGGCAGGCTTGGTTTTCGTACTAAATGAAGGGAAGTTAAATATTAAAATACAATAATATTTGGATGAATTTGGACGAGGTAGCTTGACATTATTTGAGTAGTTCCGACACGTTAACATACCGTTTCAGCTACAACAGTCACATGTCCCTCGTCGCTGCGTTCGAGCCAATTTGTCTGATCCTTTTCTAACCCCAGCCACAGCGACAAACGTACTTGTGCAGGTATCTTCCAGTGTTCAGATTTGTCCTCGCTCTTTAGCAGTGGAACCTAAATAGGGAACACGTTAGAATTAAAACTTGAGTTCAATTAGAGGCAAAGCCAAGTTTTTCATCTAAAAGTAGCATTGGCCTAAGCAAAATGTGCAAGTTTTGATGAAGTATCAGAACATGACTGACCTTCAGCTGAATAGTTCGAGTTACACCACAATACCGGCCACGGTACAAGTCTTCTTCGGAGTAAAGCAAATCGTAGGCAGGAATACGGAAGTAGGCTACACGTTTGTCTCCAGCTATCATCCATATTATGACATCAGGCATGCTGTTTTGGGGCTATAAGGCAAAATAGATGCAGTTATTGATGAAGAGTCGAAAGCTAAAAGCAAAGATAAACTGCAGATCAAGACACCTTAGTGAAGTCATTAGATAGATAACATGCTCTTAGGTATGCTAGATGAAAACTTCTTTGAATCGCAACTTTCGTTCCTTCGGTTATATGCCTAACGCCAGCAGGGTTCGCATGCAACAATACTTCAGGGTTTTCATTTATCCGGGATATAATCTCGAACATTTAAACTTGAAATAGGCCATGCTTTGGACTAGTATAGTAAAAATTGTGCATAATATATGGTATAAAAATTATTGTCGAAGTCGAATATTTTCTTCGGGAAATATTATTTATTGCGTTAAATTTCGAGACTGGAACCCCAGCTCGTCGCTAGACGCAGAGGAAAGTGAACGTACCCAAAACAGCTAATATGGTGAATTGCAGAGGATCCTGGGCAGCATAGGGAGGTTGGAAGCTTGAATCCGTCTCAAAAGCCTACTTGCTGGACGTGTTAGTTTTCTGTCACTCATATTCAACGGTTCGAAACCTTTCTATTGCTTAAGCTGCGTAAATTTTGGGTGTCTTATAGACGCTACCATGGCAATTAAAAACTTCCGAGGTATTATGCATACAATTCCCAAACTGCGTAGGGAATCACATGTGAAATCAAAACGACACTGACTAATTTAATCTAATTGAACGACGCGAAGCACCTTATATTTCATCTTTATATTTATTTTTTCGTGAAGGCGTGAAAGTTTAAGCGGACTTAAGGCCAACCCTGAAGCTTGGAGCATTGGCCCACTTATAAAAGAGCCTTGATAATATGCATTTGACTAAATGATAACATATCACGGAAATAACAGAACATGAACCGAGGCGCGTTTTAATGATAACAACAAGGTTAATGAAGGATTAAAGTGGGCGCCCATTTATTTTCGAAAGGGTCGATAACATGTTCAGTCAACATTTTTTGCTGTTTTCATATCAGGCTGGGTTTGGTCCTGAAAAATGCACTTTGCCAAGCCTGTCTCTGTTTACATTAATGCTTGGTGGTACGACGATAAATTGCAGTCGGACGTAAAGTGAACAGCAATTACTCATGATAAATAAGTCCAATGC